CTGCACTCCGAGGAAAATTCAATCGGAAAGTCCCTAATCACATGGCAAAATCAAATGACAAAACACATCAAACGAATGGACAACAACTGTCATATTCCTGACTTGGTACAGGCATTTTCAAATGTAGAAAATGGTGGATTGAACCTGGTTTTATAGCGCTTAACCTCTCACTTGTACGACAGTCTTATCAAATTCCGTTATATTTACAACGATGCGTGAACAAAACAGACATTATAAATAAAATAGTCAAAATATGGGTACAGCAGTCATCAAACAGTCTTTGAAACGCGTCAAAGTAGTATCAACCTCCTTGCATGTTGAAATGGAATTGAAGGATTATATTAATATGTTTTAAATTTCGAAAACTTTAAATTTGAAACAGAAGAAAAGCTTGCTTGGAGTTTAATCAATGCATGACAAATAGATTCAAATCGTGCATACGGGTGATATATGGAAATTACATTACCAGACGAATCAAACTTTGTAAAATATTGCACGACCATAGCAAACATGTTGTTTGTTCAATAAGAACCTGGCAATGATTTTTTTTTAAATATTGCAGTAACAATTATTAAAAACGATTTACATCTTCCAGGGAACTCTTCATTGGGGTCTGTATGGGGTTTACAGAATAGAGAAACTGAGACTACAAAAACGGGCACAAACACAAAATGGAAAATTGTGGACTGAAAACAAAAGATAAAAATATGACCTTAAACAATTTAAGAATACAGAACAAAAGACTATTCAATAAAGACCTGCCTTCTCCTTGACATGTCTATCGTAGTACACAAGGAAATGTATCTATTATGTATTGTTAAGTACATAATATGTTACTTCCTCAATATATTTTTATCCTTTTTAAACGATCTTATCAATGGCATTGTTTCATATTTTTATTTTTATATAAAATTATAAAAATAAAAGTGGCTTGTGAACGTGACTTTCGTTTTCCTGTCTTCCTGATAAAAAAAACCATTTCAATGACAAATCATTCTGTAAAATTATAATAATTTACTTCAAAGTGCTATCAATCTTAAGACAGAACCATCACAAAGTTATCAGTGTGTTTACTGATTGGTGACTTAAACGAACCCCATCGTCAAAAAATGTAATAGTAATAATAAATATTCACAACTCCAGGTTCTTAATAGCTTCGAAATTTAGCAATTGAAAGTTAAGAAAAAAATATTAGTCATGTAACATTGTATCAAGATCGGTACCGAAATGTGAAATAGAACTAGTCATTTGAGAAACGATAAGGATGTACATTTTTGCATGATCCTCTTTTTATTGTCAATATGTCCAATGACCAAAATATCATTCATCTCAAACCTGGTTATCTAGTATCTAGTTTAAATCAGGAATCGAACAAACACATCATTATTGCAATATATCCAATACTGAATCACTTTACTTACATGAGAATGAAAAGTATAATGGATTGGTGTTTACTTTTCTGCAGTTAATCTTTTTAACATATTCGGAACAAGTATAAGTAAATGTCATGTGAATATGAATAATATCTTGTACCATACCAACGAATTAACATAAAAATAAGGAGAAGTGGTACGATTGTCATTGACACAACTGCCCATCATTGAATAAAAAACTAGAACACAGACCATTACCCCTTACCGTGCTATTTCCAATACACCTTTTTGGTATTTTAGCGCCATTACTGGAAATCACACAGGTTCCTGTAAAATTTTGACGTCATAATACAAAATATCTGACGCCACAATGGAAAAGTGATTGCTGTATGACGTCAATAGTTCAAGCGGGACAGATTCTCGGATCAGCCGGGAATAGAGATAAGGTGTATGACCAGCGAACCCAGACAGTATGGTAAGGTTTGATAGGCTACTAAATAGCAAAAGATGAAATAATTCCAAAGGGACAATAAGTAGCCTGATTTGAGAAAATAAAAGTAAACGAAAAACAATTATAGAAACGATTGGTATAATTGCCAAGACACCAAATAACTTATAGGACACCGTACGGCTGTGAACAATGTGCAAATTTATCCATTATAGTAATTCGTTAGAGGCCCGTGCATGATAAAATGTAAAACAATTCAAACAAAAATACAAACGGCCAGATGTATGTATTAAACAACAAACAATTAAATAGGACAAACAACTATAAGCGATAACCCTTGGATTCATGTTCCTAGCTTGGGACAGGCACTCACAGAATGTTGCGGTGTTAAACATGTGCGAGCAATCAATCCACCTTACCTCAGACAGTAATGTACCAGCGCAACATAAAAACAAATAATCAATTGAAAAGGGCGTGACTCATTAAATCGACAACAACCAAAAAAAATGAAAAAAACAATTATCAAAAAGATTATTAAAGGCACAAAGTACCAATCTAAGAGTTCTTGCAGTAACCTGGAGCTACATCACAGTTCAAAGTCAATTACAACTAGCAAATAAAGCGTGTTTCCCAGACTAAAATATGCATTAGTTAACATCCAATAGATCGACAGGATGAAGACCAGTTAGTATTAATAACCAGTATTTATCATACAAATAAAAGAATCTTACATAATTTGCACTAATTTTAATCCCCTGCAGGCTTATAAGATGTGTTTTAGGTTTAAGATTATAGTATTCTAACCTTAATCAAAAATGTAAACACAGACGGTGTTTAATTCTAAATTTTTTCCAACTTTCATTTTATAAAACAAAGAACTCAAAACTGCAGTGGTCTTAATACAGAATAATACATGGAATAAATGGCACAAATAAGTTCTTCTGATCCAAATATTAGATGAAAGACAGGAATGAGAGCAGTTTAGAATGTGATGAAGCCGAAACGATATACAAATATGTTGATGTTGTCTATACACATCAAGACGTAAGGAAGTCCTAAACTATTGCATTTATAAAAAAAATTAGTATTAACACGAAATGTTGATTTTGTAATTTTTGGTTTCTGAAGAAAGCTGTTTAAAATTATGTTTGAGAAAATGATCGTTATCTAACAGATCTAACACTGCTTACACTTGTTTTTGTATTTGTCTTACATATGTCTCATATCACAAAAAAAACAATGCTTTATCAATTGAACCAAAGTAGCCTTCAACCTCTCTGTATTCTAAGCTCAATTGACAGATCGTTGACTTTTATGCCATGTTTAACTTCTGGTGGAAGGAAATGAACCCTATGAACTTAATAAACCTGAAGAAGTCGAACAACACGAAGAAACTCATAAAACAACGGAAGGGAACTCCAATAGGTAAGGACATATTTACATTTGACGTCTGGAACGTAGTTCCGTCGCACTATTGTGTAAATTAAAGTAAATTACTGAATGTCCTGTATATGTTATATGTTCATAATTTATCATTGGGATGCTCACGAAAATTTGGAAATATATCGGGACTGTTGATAACTGGAATACAAGTGGGAGGTTTAGCCAGATATAAACCAAGGCTTAACCCACACTTTGTTTGGAAAGTGCCTGTACTATTTCAGGGAAATGACAGTTGTTTTCCATTCGTACCGTTAGTTAATGTAGTCGAACGTTTAATTTTGTACAGTTTTATGGATTTCCCTCTTTTCATTTTGAATTTACCTTGAACTTGGGTTTTTTGTTAATACTTTTTTAAACCTGAAACCGAAAGCAACGTTTCTATGAAAAGGATAAACATCTGTTGAGGAAGTAACATCTTATGCACTTAAGTCTAAATATTGTAAAACTTTCCTTGTGAATAAATGCAGGACCAGATTAGTTGCTCTCTGGATGATGTTAACTTTTACAAACGTTTTTCATGTAATTATTGATATTATTACGATAACTTTTATGCACTTTTGCATTGCCAGTTTCAGATTGAACTTACAACATTTGTGAAATAGTTTGTGAGACGACAAAAATAGTCAGTATTTCACAAAGTTTGTTTTGTTAATGTAAGTATATAAGTATATACCACATGTTTGCATGGTTTGAAAATACTTGTCATGCATTTATTAAACGTCAAACTTATCTCCTGTTAATTGTATACATTAATAACATTGTACGTTTACTGTTCTTATCCTGCCAAAAAAATTGACATTACCAGAGCGTAATTCTCGAGTAGGGCACCACAATGAACTGTGGCGTTGCACTAATTCAAAACTACACTAAAGAGAGGCGAAAGATACCAAAGGGACATTTAAACTCCCGACAAACTGACAATGCCATGTGGTAAATATGAAAAAGGAAAAAAACAGTTTACAAAACACAACATAGAAAACAAAAGACTGAACAACATGAACCCAACCAGAAACCAGGGAGGGGAGGGGGTGATTTCAGGTGTTCCGGAAGGGTAAGAAAATTCTTCTCCATATGTGGTGTCCTTCGTAATATATGTCAGTGGGTAATACATTCTCATCCCCTTATAATATTTGTGTAAATACTGTGGACTTCTTCTTATATATAATTGATATAACTTTTCCCATGTAGTTAACATTTTTATCAAGTTTAACTTTCTTTGACATCAGTTGAATTAGTCCTTTACATCTAGATACGATTTCACAGATTCATGTGTGATAGTTAATACGTTAATAAATGTGTTACTGGTATTAAAATGCTATGAAACATATGAATGGTCAGGATTTTTGCAAACATACGATACATGAATAGGGGGTGTAAAACCCCAGCTGCATGTCTGAACCAAAATGTGCATGTTAAGCATCCATCCGCTTCCCGTGGTTCAAATCTCAACTTCAACTTATGAAATATCATGTTCTTCTGGACTCAAAATAAGTGTTTTAGCAGATGAAACAAGCTATCAGACATTTCCTGTGTTTACACAGAACAGATATGATTCATACACGAATGATATTTCGCCGCGATATAGCCTTTTTGTGCTGATGCGGCGTAAAGCAATCACCAATCAATCAATCGAAAGATAATAATCAATTCTACAAATGTCTCTCTAAAAGAAATTTGCTGTATTCGGGTCTTAATTCTTTACGTTAACCTTCATTTCTATTTGCATTCAGGCTATGGAGTCCGTAGCAAAGTTTTTAAATGCCGCCATAGTTCTACCATTTACAGCTGGAGACACATCGGAAATCCAACAAAATAGTGCTTATATACGACCTCACGATGGTAGTATCAGTGGAATGATTCTTATTTCAAGCGTCTTAGTGATAGTTATTCTTGCTATATTTGGAATAAGATTGGCAGATTCAGAAGTACACAAGACCATACCATATTTAACATTACGTTCATATCTGTGTGTCACAATTGTCCTTGCTATAGCTGTTTTTATTGCTCATTTCATCATATATCGTGTTAAGCGCGTAGAACGTATAACTTTACCTTCAACATGCTTAATTAAAGTCGACGCTATCGCTAAATTGAAACTTAGATTTTTATGGATTTTTACGTTTGGAGGTATTTTGTATGCCTCGGTAAAAGTGATCAGAGTACCTTGCAAAGCGAAAACAATAAACAACTATAAGAGTGTCGGATGTATTGACAAAAACTTCACGTACTACAAAGACTACGAAGAGGCAAATATTACCTTTCATTGTATTCAAATTTCATTTTATTTCATCCAGTCTTGTTTTATATATTTCTTCATTCGTTCCAGCTTCAAAAATTCATGGGGGATTTATTATAGCCTTCTATTCATAGTTCTAGCAAACATATCACAATGGGCGCATTATTTTTCGGAAATATACAAAGACTCAAACACAAGAGGCTATAAACTAGTTTGTCCTATGAGTAATTACTCAATTGACAACTGCTACTGGGAAATCGTTTTAAAAAAGATAGAGCCATACCTAACACCAGTTGAAATGGAGTATTTTCTGTTATCGATGGTTTTTATTGCTGAACTTTGGCCATCCAAGAAAAGTTACTCAAATGAAGTTAATTTGATTGAAACAGATCTCGCAAATGAATACACACCATTGGAATCATCCACGCGTGGATTACTAAAAGAGCCTACGTGTTGGTCAAGTCGTGTACGAACTTGTATGTTCGTTGCTTTTGTAGTTATAGTTTTTCTCCCTTGTTATATCTTCAGTTACTTAGCATTTGAAGAAAACGAGAAGAAGGCCAAATGCGTCAATGAAACAATGAAAACTGTCTATGTATTCTGTGATATATTCATATCATTGATTGAGAAAATGTTATTGATTATGAGCTTTTATATGATTTCAGAATCGTCATATCTTAGACCCCTTAAACGAAAAGAAGGCTTCCATTTTCATCATAAGATGTTAATTGCAAGTTTCTTAGGTTCCGTTGGATATTTATCATTAGTTATCATATCGTGCATACATGCAGGAAAAGCAAATTTGTTAATCGCCCAGAAATTTCTAACAATGATAGAACTCTACCTTCAAATAGTTTGCATTCTTCAATTACATAATTATGAAAAATGTCAAGGAAGCGTTGGCAAATACATTTTTCTTGCATTGTCGGTTCTGAATTTTGGTTCTTGGTTTAATGACAGTATTTTTGGCGGTATTTCCATATATGATAAAGAAATTTTAAAAGTGGTATATGATATCACCACTCAGAGACTTATAACTAACGTTTTATTTCCTTTTTTAATCTTCTTTAGATTTAAATCCTTCATTTTATTTTATGGGATTTTCCGCCAAACCTTAGTCAATGCCACTATTTTAAAAAGCCCTGCACACTTCAGGTTCGATGAGCTGTAACCTTTCACATGCAATACATTTTATAAAAAAAAAATCGTTTTCCTATGTGAGGCTGTGGATTGGGTATACAGAATAGAGAATAATAGGAAAAAGTTGCATAAAAAAGGCAATTAATATGAAGAATAGAGCAAAATATGGCAAAAAAAATATATATATATAATAATATGGTGCTCAAACATAAAAAATAGAGAGTAATTGGCAAAAAAATAACATAATGTGTAGAGAAAATGAATAAAAAAAAATGAAGAATACAGAAATGCAGGACCCCCCATTCAGACCCTTCTATGTGATATAGTTATGAATGATTACTGATTCAGACGTAACGGGAAATATATTGTTATTTATCAGTTTTTCTATGAAAAATTTATTCTTTACTAAGAATGTTGTCAGATATTTATCTTTAGTTTTAAATGTTCAGATTGTCAGATAATTTTTTTTTATTATTATTAATAAATGATGCATCATATATCTTCATTTTATATATGAACCATTTTGGGAGGAAAGATAACTTTGACGAAGATTAATTGATTGATTGTTTATTGTTTTACGTCTAGTGGCAAATATTTCATGCATGTTCAGGACGAGAACAAATCATTGATAGGTCCTGTAATAGAGGCCGTTAGGGATGAAGCTTTGACGAACAATACTGTTCGAACATTTTGAAAATAGTCTATAACTATTGATTATGCAATGCATATGTAATAACTAGGAGAGATTCCGATCATTTAATATTACAGTAATTTTGTTTCTTGTGGATATATATTGAAACAAATTTTTCCCCAGCCACGGAATCATTACTTTCGCGCTAAAGTAAATGTTATCACGTTTATTTATAGCTTGCTATAAAAGTACAGTTGTTTATGTTTCTTGAAAATAGCATTAGTTATTATTCATACTGTAACTAGGTCTTGAGATAGGTCTTCAGTTTGGAAAAAAAAGATATTTGGCGGTTATACACACGACGACACGTAAACGCAAGAAATCAACATGATTACAGGATCCATTCTAGTGCTAATTGTCGAAAGTACTAGGAATGAGCTTATGTCCAGCAGACGTGTGTCAAATAATCTGTAAGTATGACTATATTTTTGATTGATTGATTGTAAGTGTTCAAACGCCACTTTCGGGACTATTTGCTGCCAGGTTGTATTGGTAAAGGAAGCCGGAGTGCCCGGAGAGAACCACCGACCTTCCGCAGGAAAACTGATAATCCTAGTCAATTAAGATGTGAATCGAATGCACCTGCCACGTGCAGTGTCGAACTCACAATCAGCCCTGCTATAAAAAAAATAATAAACATTTTATTACTTTGTATGGAAAGCCACAGTGAACCCCCCAATTAGTATTATTTTTCCTTTAGAAAAACATGGATACAAATAAATCTTCGGCTTATAGAAATTCACGACCCCGCCGATTATTATCAATTATAAAATCTTCGGCTTTTAAAAATAAAGACCCCGCCGATTATTTTCAATAATAAAATCTTCGGCTTTTGAAATTCACGACCCCGCCGATTATTCTCAATTATAAAATCTTCGGCTTTTAATCAAGAGCCCGCCGATTATTTCCAATAATAAAATCTTCGGCTTTTAAAAATCACGACCCGCCGATTATTTTCATAAAATCTAAACAAAAAAATAATCTGCGGGACAATCTTCGGGACAATCTGCGGGACCCGCCGATTATTATAATAACATCCAAACTAAAAATAATCTGCTGGACCCGCCGATTATTTTTATCATTCTAATAAAATCTGAACCAAAATTAATCGTCGGGGAAAAGCCTAGTCAATTTAGCTCCATGACAATCACTGAATTATAGGCTCCAGACTTAGAGTAGGCACATATAGAATATGGTGGGAATACATATGATTGTGAGTGGTCATGCTCAAATTAATTTACCTTAATTGATATTTGTTACCTTCAGCTGTATACACTTATACTGTATATTACAAATATATTATACCTTTTAACATTTAAAAGAATTAAACCACTGGAATTATGATAGCATATATTGAGACTGTAAAAACATGATTGTTAAAATTTATCTAAATTTACAGTCATAAGCCTCATGCCATCCATACAATATGAAGCAGGTGTTCTCTATGAAATGTGTCTTTTGTTTTGGTGTACTGTGACTTCCTTTTTGACAGACAATTCAAGGAAATGTTGAAGCGCACAAATTCAGATTCTTCCAAAAAATAATAAAAGTCAGACAAATGAAACAGAAAGCAACCCCATATAACATGTAGGTCTTACAGGCTTACATTTACCTGACAAAAGATTTATATAGATTTTTGTCTCGCCTTGACGGAGTCAAAAAACGAGACATAGGTATGCTGTTTTCGGCGTCGTCGGCGGCGGCGGCGACGGCGTCAACAATGTATTAGTTTGTGATTAGGTCTAGTTTATGGTGAACCACAAGTGGTAGGTCAATGCTATTTGGTATGAGTTGTATAAGCATTGGCTTATCTCTTTCCATGAAGATTATTTGGCCCTGACCCCTCGGTCATGGTCTATTGACTTTGAAACTTGTTTAGTTTACATTTTTTATTTTGTGATTAGGTCAGTTTATGGGGAACCACTAGTGGAAGGTCAATGATATTTGGTATGCAGTTGTATAAACATTGGCATATCTCATTTCTATGGATCTTAGTCATGGCCTATTGAATTTGAAAATTTTGTTTAGCTTTCATGTCAAGGGGAACCATTTGTGGTTGGCCAATGTTAATTGGTATTCAGTTCTATAAGCAATAGCATATCTCATTTCCATGGAGAATATTTGGCCCCGCTCCTTTAGTCATGGTCTATAGACTTTGAAACTTTTGCTTAGTTTACGTGTATTAGTTTGTGATTAGATTCGTTTAAGTAAACTGCTAATGTTAAGTCAATGATATTTGGTATGCAAATTTATTGGCATTTGCAAGTATCGTTTCCATGGAGATTATATAGCCCCACCCTTCATCATGGTTCATTGACTTTAAGTTTCAATTAAAGTCTATAGACCATGACTGAAGGAGCCATAACACACGAATCTTCACGCGAAATATTTGGACGACTTCACACGAAAATCTATGATAAACGGGACGATTTCGACTTCCCAATTATCAATTTCCCATTTCTCAGCAGTAACATACCCTCTGCCCCTTCGTATGGTGTTTACATATCTCAATTGATACGTTATTCTCGTGCTTGTTCACACTATACGGACTCACATTTACAGGAGTGTGCTCCTTACACAGAAACTGCTCCAACAAAGTTATGAGGAGGACAGATTAAAAATGACACTCCGTAAATTTTACGGACACCATCACGAATTGGTTAGTCTTTGTCCAAACTAACTAAGGAAATTTTTACCACGTGTTAGATTGTGGTTTGTCATTATGTCGTCTGATCTTTTAATTACCGAACGTGACTTATTCCCGATTGTGACTGTTTTGCTGAGTGTGAAACCGCATTGCTATAAGACGTGTCACGGTACCTTTCTATCCCAAATTCATGTATTTAATTTTTATGTTATATTTGTTATTCTCGTCGGATTTTGTCAAATGTCTTAACGTCTTTTCTGTTATATTCGTGTGTTATGGTAAAGATAATTAATCACCCCCTTCATTTATTACATTTTAGTTTGGTTCAACGAAATTTATACGATATATTTGGTTTACAGTTTGATTCAGAAGAAACACCGACATAGCTAGATAATACAATTAATTATCTAATTACTACCACAATTTGATATTAATAAGTATTGTAATTTTCATTGTTATTAATAAATGTAATGTCAGTATTACAAATCTAACTTGAATCAATCCTAATCCTATCTTATTTTTGGGAAATATTTTTACAAATTCAAATGTGACAATGTGACATCACTTTGTGTGTTTTTTTAGAATTTCAAATGTGACGTCACTTTGTGCGTTGATGCTTTGACTAACTCGGCTGTGTATTTTTATATGTTGGATTAAGTTGTTTTATGTAATGTATCCATTTTTATTCTGTCGTTAGTCCCCACTTCGGTTTTATCATGTATATCTATTATATAGTCATTTTATAAAATTTACTGTTTGCAAAATTATAAATTATTCTAAATAATAAGGATGTTCTTGTCCCAGGCAGAAAACCCTGGCCGTGTTATACTACTGTTGCCTTTATTTAGGCGCAACTTTTTGGAAGTTTTGGTCCTCGGTGCTCTTCGGCTTTGTACTTGTTTTGGCTTTAAGCTTTTTTCATCTGAGCGTCACTAGATGGTCTTGTGTGGACGAGACGCACGTCTGGCGTATTGAATTTTAAGCCTAGTACCTTTCGTTAGCTATTATTCGTGTGTTTCTTTGTCCTATATGTTCTCCCATTTATTTGTATTGTGGTCCTGTCATGTGATGTTGTCGTTTTCGTGTTGTATTTGACGTTGCCATTAAAGCGGGAGGTTTGGCATGCCACAAAACCAGGTTCAACCTACCACTTTTTTCTTAAAATGTCCTGTACCAAGTCAGGAAATAGCCATTGTTATATTATAGTTCGTTTCTGTGTGTGTTACATTTTTAATGTTGTGTTTTTGTTGTGTCGTTGTTCTCCTCTTATAGTTGATGCGTTTCCCTCAGTTTTAGTTTGTAACCCGGATTTGTTTTTGTCTCTATCGATTTATGAGTTTCGAACAGCGGTATACTACTGTTGCCTTTATTTAACAGACATGTTTTTACAGTCTCAATATATGCTATCATAATTCCATTGGTTTAATTCTTTTAAATGTTAAAAGGTATAATACATTTGTAATATACAGTATAAGTGTATACAGCTGAAGGTAACAAATATCAAATAAGGTAAATTAATTTGAACATGCCCACTCACAATCATGTGTAACCCCACCATATTCTATATGTGCCTACTCTAAGTCTGGAGCCTATAATTCAGTGATTGTCATGGAGCTAAATTGACTAGGCTATTCCCCGACGATTAATTCTGGTTCAGATTTTATTAGAATGATAAAAATAATCGCCGGGTCCAGCAGATTATCTCATACATATAATATATATGTATATATCAATTGTTGCAAGTATACAATATAGTGAAAAATCAAAATACAAATTACAACATATTTTAAGAAACCACAAAACTTTTAACCATCGGTAAATCAAGAGTCCCCTGTCCTCAGTTCCATTGACTGTTTTAAAAACGAGCCTAGTAAACATTGTTCCTGTTGAAAATTTTATTGATTGAGTATATATTGTAGTTTTTGTTTGTTAGTGCAACTCATAAAGTCAGTATTTTGAGAAGCAATTTCAGAGAAGTAATCATTTCTTACATGTTTATTTATTTTCCAATGAAGGAAGGAGTTAAATTCATCATCTATAACTTCAATAGGGCAAAAATAAAAATGTATTTTAACATGGAAAGCGGTAAAGCTAATTTCCTCTTAATTTCTTTCAACTAAGACCATTTTAAAAAGTTCTCCGTTATTTGAAAAGTCATACAT